GCCCTGGGCTGCGATCCGGAGTCGGCGGCCGGGAGAGCTCCGCGCCGGCTGGTTTTAGTGGGCGCCCGCGACGCTGTGAGCTCTCGAGTCCGTTGGTGTTCCTCGGGCTCCAGGGTCCTCGCCCGCTCTCTGCCTTCTCGAGGAAGCGATTTCCTGCTGGTTTGCTTTTCCAAAACTGTCTTCGCAGTCGCCCTCAGGGCGGTCACGCCTCCGCGACTCCGAGCTCGCGTGCCCGAGCATATGTCGCGCCCGGGGCACAAGCCGCCCTGGGCCGGCGTCTCGGTCCCGGCGGGTCCGCAGCCCGGGCACGCCGCTCCTCCGGCGCCTCGGCAGCGTGTTACTGAAGACTGTTTTCAGTTGAGGCCAGGAGAGAGAGGGCTAACCGGATGTTTCCCGATCTCATAAAACGCCCTGTCATGGGACATGGAGAGCCCAACATCATTAAAAATATCGATGAAAGTTAACAAGCTTTAAAACCTGACTGTCATCCGAAGCTTTGCTGTGACGAGTGTGACTGCTATTCTTGTTTTCGCATGTATTTTTCACGTATGCGTAAATCCGTCAGCGTTACGGTTTAATTCTGACAGTGATCATGTGCTTTTTTATTCAGTTGGCTAGAGATTTACTACATCCGTCCTTGGAAGAGGAAAAGAAAAAACATAAAAAGAAACGGCTAGTTCAAAGTCCAAATTCTTACTTCATGGATGTAAAATGTCCAGGTAAAATTTCAAATTTCTTTTTTTTTCAGGAAAACTTCTATAGGGGTTGCTAGTGGGGTGTGCATATTTAGATATGTTAGGACGCTCTGTTGCATAGAAGTGGGATTACAGAATGGAAAATAGTTTAGGATATTTTCATAGTATCGATACCAGGTCGTTTGGGGGGTAGCGCTGAAGGTGGGCATCGCGGGAGGATAATATATTAGACTTACTAAGTCATTTTCTGCTGTATGCAGCTAAGCCTAAGGCCATGAAAAGTATGTTGACTTTTTTAGTCTAGAACTGTGCTTCCCAGTACTGCCGCCATTAGCCATATGTGATCACCTGGCACTTGTCTGTGGCTTTTTACAGAGGGACTATTCAAAAAAAAAAAAAAAAAGTTTTGCCATAAGGTATGTGTGCTCTGGAGAGAGAGACAGAGAGGGGAAGGTACTTCCCCTCCATTCTCCAGTCTTTCCTCCTGGAATCATGGGCCCACATACACAGGCACCCAGCATGGCTTTCAAATTGCCAGGTCTGGGATTTCAACTGGAGTCAGCCCTGTGGGAGTCTAGCAGCTCAACCTCCACACCACCTGCTGGCCCCCACATGGAAATGCTTTTTACATGTAATACATACACTGAGGTGTTTTAGTTTTGTTTTGTTTTTTAGGGAGAGATATTTTGCTGTAGGGCACGTGTGCTTGCTGGAGAGACAGAGACAGAGAGACAGAAAGCGAGAAATCATGCCTTGGGGAGATGACCATGCCGAGATCCGGTCTCTATCCCTCTTGAAATTTTGGGCATGCATGCACATGTGCCCAGCATGAGTTTCAAGCCCTGGGTCCAGGACCCAAACCTGTGGTAAGCTATGTGGAAATCTAGCAACAACCATTATGCCATCTGCTGGTCCCCCATACACTGAGATTTTTGAAGATGTAGACACATATACAAAAAACCCCTTATATTGATTACATGTTGAAATGATAGTATTTTGAAAATACTGAGTTAAGAAAATATATTAATTTCACCTTTAAAAAAAAAATCACTTCACATGACTACTAGAAAACATATTTGGCTTGCTATTGTATGGTACTCAAGTTCTCAGTCTTTTATAGGAAATATATATTGGACTCTGAAAAATTATGCATTGTTTTTACATAGAAAAACAAAGAAAAGATGTGTTGTGATTTTTCCAATGACTCAGCATTACTAGAAATATGTGGAATGGGTGTTTATTTTTTTTCCTCCTTTTCTTTCTTTTTAAAAATGTTTGCATGTGCAGTCTACAGAGAGAGACAGAAAGTGAGAAAGCAACACCTATGGGGGGTAGTAATGCTACAGTCCTTTCTTTTCTCCTCTGGGGATTTTGGGCACATACATGTACCCAGTGTGTTCTTTAAGTCACCAGGCCCAGGACTTGAACTGCCTAGTTGGCTGTGTGGGATCCAACTGCCTTAACCATCATGCCACCAGCCAGCCCCCCGCATTCAATTTTAATATTGCTCTGTTTTTAGGCTGCTACAAGATCACTACGGTCTTCAGTCATGCTCAGACAGTGGTTCTGTGTGTCGGGTGTTCAACAGTGCTGTGCCAGCCAACTGGGGGAAAGGCCAGACTCACAGAAGGTACAGCATTTGGCACTTCCTAATCCATCAATGAGATTTTATGATTATAAATGTCTCCATCTTTTCTATAAAAGTTGAAAGAAATTAAATAATTGTTACCTTTCATTATGCGCTCTTTCAGTAAAGAGTGCCTTGTTTATACTCTTTTTTTTTTTGAGAGGTTTTTGCTATAGGGCACATGCGCTCCCCAGAAAGGCAGGGAGAGACAGAAAGCAAGCAATTAACC